TTGTCGGCTGGTAGTATGACAATGTTGTTGTCGAACACCTTTCTTTTGTACTTGCTTATTCTAACTCTGTGACCTACTTTAAACTTCGGTTTTGATGATGGTTCTGTATTACCATTCAGATTGAAATATGCAGTTCCTTCGTTCTTTTTTTTACTAGCTTCAACAGGTGTCATTTTAATTGAACTGTGTTTGGTGTTATTGTACTGTTGTAAAATTGTGGGTAGAATTTTCAAATAGTGTGTATTAGCCTGCATAGTAAACTGCTTCCACTTTTTGGTTTTTATTGTTTTATTCCATCGTTCACAAACAGATGATTTTTCTTCATTTTAAGTGGAATACAATGTTATTTTACTCTTGTTTAATAAGTCTTTGAAATGTTTATTGTAATACTCTTTGCCCTTATCAGTCCATAAATATTGTGGTTTTCTTCCCTCCTTGAAAATGGTTTTGTATGCTTCGGTTAGAGTTTCGCCTTTTTCATCCTTTAATGGAACAATCCAACCGTATTTACGAAACACGTCTAAGACCATCAGAAGCCCTTGGTCCACTTGCTGAACTGCTGCATTTCAACTAAATCAGAACACCATATTTCGTCGATATGATTCACTATCACACGCCTTCGAGTAAAGTTACGTTCTATTGGTTTATGTAATTCATCTGCTAATTTTTCTGGCCAGTTTACTTCACTCGACGGCTTTTTCCGTTTTTTTGAACACCAAGACCTAGTTTTTTTTATGAATCAAGAATCGTGCTGTTGATCCCCATTTTGGCATTTCACCATATGGAATTTCATCCAACGATTTAACCATTTTTCTGTCACAATCTCCCTTGTTTTTGCCCATATCATAACAAATATCGTTATAAGCCGCTATTTCATCCACTTTGTTATACGGTTGTACATACCATTTTGTAACTTGACCCGTATTTTTATCATACTCCAATTGTTTTTCAAGTGGATTATATGGGCCCATATATTTGTACTTTCCTGGTGTCCATCCAGCCTTTGGTTTTGGTATTTTACCAAAAGCTTTGTGTATGTCAATTGCACCACCAATTGGATTCCATGTTGGTCTAGTCTTGTAACCCATATAAAGAGCCCACTTACCTAAACTCTTTTTTCCTCCTTTCTTCAGCATGTCTTTCATCTGCATTCGGTTCAGGTCTTTGGAATAAAGTGGGACCAGTTATGACTTTCTTCGCTCCTTCCCAGTCAACATATGGAAACGGTAATGATACAACACTTCCCTTGTACATATCAGCATCAAGATCCATTCTGTCGGTTTTATATTTGTAATTTGATTATGGGAAATGACTGGTATTTTATCAGTAAATTTAAAATTAAGATTACAACTCTCATGAGCAGTATTTACCTGTCACATGACAATGATCTCTGACTCTTTTGTATGTTTTATCGTATTTTTTTGCCACAAATATGGCATTCTGTTGCTTGTTTGAAATTCTTTTCATCTTCATCAGTTATTTTCAGCGGTTTACTAAATTCATATTTGATAATATTTCTGCAGTATTTCACTTCATCTATCACTTTCGCCATAAATTTATACACAGCATTTTCACCTCGATAAGATTGAACTGGTTTCGAATACTTACCATCATAACAGCATACCACTTTATAGCCGAAACTACAATCTGTGTGTTTTTGATATGCTTCAGTATAGGATTTACTATCATTTGGTTTAAATGAATCTACTTTTTCTGTTATAGCTTCGAAATCAGCATGAATCACAAATGGTGCTTGTAACTGTCGGCTGTAATTTTGAAACTTAATTTTCTCACCCTTTTGTGGCATTTTTATTGCTTGTTCACCATTAATTACAATACACTCAGTGTTATGTTTACTGAGAATATCTTCAGATGAGAAACACTGAATACAGTACGTACAAAAGTGTTTTCTATGCTCATATTTGGCTTGATTGTACATAAATCTGTTGAAGTCTTTGATCAGCATATAATGTTGTTTATCCTCATTGGTTATTAATAGAAGATTCAAATGATCAGCAAATCGTTCTTTGGAAACATAAATTGGATATGCTTGCTTATTTTCCGGCATATCCGAAAACATTAATTCTGATACTGTTCTGTTTTTCAGTTTTATCGAAATCATTGACTTTAACTGGAAATTCAACATTAGAATAGTCTAACTTATTAAGAGCAATTCTCCAGGAAAGTGAAGCAAAGTTGGAAATGAAAAATTTTAACTCCCCTTCATTTTTTGTGTGGAGGTAGGTTACCTTGGGGGATAAACAAAAGCAACCATATTTGGATCGGCAGATGTATCGTTGCCATGGTAACCGCACTAGATGACGTCGGTCTCAGGACCATGGTTTGAGCAAAAGTTCCACTCTCAAAAAGTAAAAGTAAACGAGTCTGTTTCTCGGGTGCATGGGAACCAATTCAAAGGAAATTCATACAGACGCTAGAGCCACTCTCCCATTTGATAAAATTCGCCGTTAAAGTATTTTGGGTTTTATAAACAAGAAGAAAATGCTCGCCTTACTATGTTCCCTGTGAGCCATTTAGACAAGCAGGAAAAGCAAGCACAACCATATTCGTAATTTCTCCGAAAGTACTCTTTCCACATAAACCAAATTAGCACCAGAGATTACACAGATATTGACGTTTCTAAATATCATAAAATCAATTTGGGGAAAACTATATTCTGGTCATGGGTGCTGAAGACACCTGAGGCAAATTGCAAAAAATTGCGAAATTGGTAATTTTGAGGGCTTTAGCATTTGGCTCAAACAGGCTTTAGAGAGAGAAAATCAGTTTCAAAAGTATCTTTTATCATCTTGTCTGTCACCTACATTTAGCTAATAGGGTTTTGGCCAACGAATTTGATGAAATATAAATTGATACAAAACCCACCTTAAATGTTTGGGAATTTCTCCAGGATGCTTTCGTCGCGTGGTTCTCTCCAGTGTCTCTCCTTCGCTTGCTCCATTTTCTTGACCAAATCTAGCGCTGACTCTAATTTAACGGTTACTGCCATCGAATATCCAGTTTGCCGTGTTTCAGACCAGAGATGATGATGCAAGAAGCCCGCATACACTTGACAAAGAATAGTTGAAAGATCAAAACATGGTCGTAATACTTGCGATTTCTGCCGTCGAGCACCTAAATTCATCATTATTATCCAACCAGGAAGTAAAGTAAATGTGTCGAGATCAATGTACAAAGCAAATGCATGCCTTTGAACAATCCAAAGTAACGTTTCTGGCTAAAATCGAGTTAGACATTGCAATAGTCGATAAGCCAAGAATGGTAAATAACTGAACGCGTAGGCCGGAAGTCCGAGAAGCACGACTGAAGCCAAAACAAAAAAAAAACAAAACAAAAACCCAAGAACCGAATAAAATTATCAAAGAAAAATTAAACGTTGAGCACCCTGGGAAACTAGGAACAAGGTTGAAATGTTTAGGTGCAAAGTCTATCTCGGATTCATACGTACCGCAGGGCCCCACGTTGAATTTTATTTGTTGTTGAATGAGTACAAGTGCAATCTGCGTTTTCGGCACGCACAGCATGAACTTCCCTTTTTTGCATACCTGTACAGACAGACAGAGTTCGAACGTCCAAGAGTTCTTAGAAAAACTAACTTCCTTGTTCTCATTCAAGCCTGCACATCATTTGTTGTTAACGAAAACCTGAA